GCATCGTCCACAAAGGACACTTCCGGGAGCTGAAGTTCTCCTTGTTCTGCAAGAATTGGTTGACCAGGACCTTGGAACCAATATGGCACATATAAGCCTGGTCTTGGTCAAAAGCGTAAAGCGCCCCGATTGATAACACTGCAAGCAGCAAGGCGGGAGACACCTGAGTGACATCGAACGATGCAGGATGCAAGAACGGCAGGTGGTGGTGGAAGAGTGTGAAATAAGTTGACAGATAACGATTCAAAGAAGATAGGTTCGGAACACGGAAACCTTCGGGAATTGCGTGTTCGATATCGTTCGCTCGAATATTGTCTAGAATTATATTTCGCTCTTCGTCGCTGTTCACTCGAGGAACGTTGAATCCACCCGAGGTCTGGGGTGGGTTAGTGGATGTGTTCACAAGAAGGGGCGCGTTTGGATTTGTTATGTTGAAGGCCGCTGGGCCGGTGCTTAGAAGTGGTGAGTTTACTACGGATTGTGACGCAGACATGTAGCTGTTATAGCTGGGACCGGGGGACAATGACGACAAGTTGGGTTGGACCTCAATGGCACTCACATTAGCAAATGGTTGTTGCGACTCAAATGAACCTGATGCGTTCGATTCGACAGACTGGGCTTTGGTATCCATTGTCGACTGGGGAGCAAATGAATCCCAGGGTACGCTGTGAGGTAGAGGAACGGCACTGGTAGGGTAAGTAACAGCAGGGTCCATTATCGGAGCGTTATTCGGAGTGTATGCCATTGAAGGACCAGATTCGTATGGGCTTCCATTGTCGCGCATCATGGCCTTGTGGTGGAGATCGGCTACTAGCATAGCAGCATGTTCAACATCGAAGGCACCTTCACTGCTAGCCTCAATCTGTTCACTTAAGGTCGAAGTGTCGATAGCGATGGAAGATTTGGAGGGGCCACCGACAGATCGAGCCTTAGAGACGCCAGCTCCGGAGCGGCGCTTTCCATCGCTGTGAAGAGGTACACCTCCGTCTTTAGCATGAACGGTTCGGTCGTGACGAAGAAGGAGGTCGCGTCGCACGAAGGTACTTCTACACTTCATACATTTGAAAGGGCGCTCCTTTGTATCTATTCCAATTCAAGTCAGCTTTGGAGAACTCGGGGTAATGCGACTGACTACATCAAATTGAATTGATTTGAGGTGTTGAGGGGTAGCAATTTCCAATGGGGGGCAATGGATGGCATGGAAGGGAGGGGTTTGGGGACTTGAAAGGTATTGGAGGGAAAGGAGAATTCGCGGTACATACGTGATCGCTCGTGTCTGCTACGATGTTCGCTTCTACTAAATGCTCTGTTGCAGAACTGGCACTTATACTTCCTCTCTGGTTGCGCGAGTGAGGTCTTTCGGGGGACCGGAGTCGACGAGGCGGATGTGGGGAGGACTGCCACGCTTGCGCCCGGCATCTTGAATAATGTTTGTCGCGTTGGTTGACAATGGGTGGTTGGTATAAAAAAAGATTCCAAAGTCAATGGGCTTCTCTCGCTTTAAACAATGATTGCGGTCGATGCTCCGAAAATCGATGTTCTTGAACCTTCACAGGCCGATCGTTGAAATCGCCTAGCTCCTCTCTCGCACGCGCGCTCCCGTGGGATTTAAAGTGTGTCTTCTTGACTGGACTGATGATAGTTGGTCATTTGTATCGGTATAAGGAGCATGGAATGGGCTTTGTAATAAGGTGGTACGGCCTATGCCGGGGGAAATTAATCTCGAAGCACAGACGTGTTCGAGATGATGCAGTCGTCTTATATTTGACGACGCAGGAAAAAAAGCTAACGATGCGCGGGTTGCGACCGTTATGAGTGAAAGAGGGGTTCGAGGGGTTGATAGAGGTAGACGGGAGGAAAATGTTGGAAGTTTAGGAAATTTTAGAAGAAGGAGGGGGGGAAAGGGACGAGGGAGCGAGGAGGGACAATGCCGGGTCAAAATGAGGGAGGGAAAATTGGATGCGCTGTGCGGGAAGTTCTGCTCTTCTTTGCAGCGCTGCGTTGTGCTGTGCTGTGCTGTGCTGTGCAAAAGTGGCTAGTGCAGCTAGGGAGGGGGGGAAACAAGAGCAGCTGGGTAGGAGGTAGGTAGGTAGGTACCTAAGGTAGTTGGCTAGAATTGAATTCTTGGAGACAAGACCCCACCTGATTGAGCAAAACATAAAAGTACGTACCTAATACCGCGTACTGACACGCTAAAATTTAGGCGGCTGGGTACGAGGAGATAGCTGACGATGCTAGACGTTGCTAACGGGCGGGACCAAAAGCACGAGCCCCGATAGACTTGCAAGGACCAGTCGGATTGGCAACAAGAATGTGGGTAGGGTCGAGGGGGGAGGGGGGGAGTTACTAGGAAGGTGAGGCGGTTGTGGCTTTTTTTGGTCAAAGTGGTCAAAGTGGTGAGTTGCGAGTTGCGCCGCAGGCAAAGTAGGAATGAATATGGCCCGATCGAGTTAAACAAGTGGATGCGGGCCGGCTGCACGGGTTGCTAGAAGGTGGGTGCTCTGGTGTTGTAATTAGCGGTGTTATGCAGGGCTTTACGGGTACCTTGGCGGTGGGATTGCAGAAGCTTTACAGGGCAACCGGGGATGCGCCTTTCTAGTGGGGATTTAACAGCTTTTTCGGAGTACCTTAACCTAGGCTCTCAGGACGCTATGTATGTACGTTTGTATTCTTTATTTATTTTATGGCCTTTCTGGTACTTGTAACTCGATGCGGTGTGCAAACAAGGTTATTTATTCACACCGCTAATATACTGTATGCTAGTTCTGCATTGAAGCGGTTCTTATGTGTTATGCGTTAAAATGTTAAACGTGTTCATGGTAACTCTGAGCATGGGAAGTTGTCAGCTCTGGGCTACTTTTTCTACGGGCGTCGCAGGCGTCGAGAGGGGCATATTAAAAAAAGTTCAAAGGTCTGGCAAAACAAAAAAGAAAGCAGGTGGGATGTTTTGGCGGGGGAGATGTACAAAGTTACAAAAGTCACACAAGATTACCAAGATTATCCAGGTTAAGCTTGAAATTCAAATGCAAAATCTCCAGCCACAAAAGGGGGGGGCGGGGAATGAAAGGAACATTAGAAGAATGAAAGAATACATAGCCTTTGACAGCAAATGGAGCAATGGAAATCATGCATCGCCGAGGGGTCCGTGGACAAGGAAACCCGGACGTGTCTGTTCTCCATCCACATATTCATCCACCTTTCCAATTTCGTCTTGGCGTGCCACGTTCAATTTTGTGACCCGTGACCCGTTCGTGTCGTGTCAAAAAGAAACATTAGTTAGGTACATAATGCTCTACATAATGCTCCGTACCTAAGATGGTCAAAACTCCTAGGCCTGTTTGTTCGGTACTCGCTGGCTGCTCGGCAAAAGTAGCAAAAGCAGCAACATGTAAACATCCCTAATTTAGCTTAGCAAGCTATCTAGTATCTACCTTGGTAAAGGTATCGCTATATTGTCTCTCTGGTTTCTCTATTTGGATATTTATTGCTCCTTAGTACCGGGGAGAAATTAGCAATGTCTTGCTTCTCATTCAGTCCGTTATCTAGATGTAAGTAATAAAGATCCGGCTCCTCCTTTGCCCTCCTTTGCCCCTCCATCTATCACGGGTTTACATACTAATGCATTGCGGCGAATCAGTGCCGCCCTGTCACGGATCATGGCAAAGAATCCTTAATCTGATGGATCTGACCACTTCATTTCCGCGTCGTTCCAATAAAATTTTAAGATTGGATGCTATAAACGAGACTTATTACCGAAAGACTTGCATCTCATAGAGTTTTAATATCACTATGTTTACATCAGTCTGGTCAGCTATTCGTTTCTTTAGGGTTTGATATGATCTACTCATTAGAATAAAATAAAATAATTTTTAACCCCTCCATCCCACTTTATCGCAATCAGCCTCCAAAGTTTCGCCATAAGCCCCTCCAAAATATACACTCTCAGTCCTTAGTCCTTCTTAATCTAAACTTATACTATAGAACAACATCATCGTAATACGTGTCATCTATTAAGATTCGTAGTGTGCGATTGAAAAATTGCCTGCGAAGGATCTAACATATTTTATTATGGCTGCCAATGCTGACAATGCACACACGGATAGCTAAGATCCAGTTCAGATACGACGCGAAGCCATGTCGTCACGCATACGTTAGATAGATTCCCCAACATGAAAAGTACAACATGAAAAGTAGGTGTGTGCAACAATATATTCAACGGCGGCTATGTTGATCAGCAAACGCCATCCTAAAATAGCGTCAACAAGCCTGAACGACTTGACGTTGAGTAGTCAGCCGACTGTAAGCTGACCATCCGCCTCGCTTCCGATATGCACGAAACTGGAGCAACGAGGCTACATATGTAGTGTGCTGCCGAAAAAAGGACCTCTTAAGTTTATAACCCTAAACTTACAGCTTCAAAAGGGTGTAGATAGTATAGATAACGACATACATGTCGCATGTTTGTTAACTAATGGAATGAAACGTGGTAGAACGCTGCTGGCGAGTTTCGAGGGGTATTTCGAGGACTTGTCCTTCGATGATTTATCCTTCTCATCATAATGACCTTACTGGACAAAAATCATCATGATCATGAATATTTTCTACTATGTAGAGCCTCCAATATCGGATGCGTCTCCATGAAGGCGGTCCCAATTATCCTTTCATTGTGGTTTGCCGAATGCGAAATCCTACCTCACCGGTCCTCTTACAAATGGTGAGGGGTTGAAAGTTGAGAGCGGGGCAGCCGACGGCTTTCATGAGGGGCTTGGGCTTGTCTGATAATGCAAGTACCTATGTAACCTAGGTAGTTTAATGTATTCCGTACCTAACGTACATGAGGGAGGATACTCCTATATTCCTAAGAGCTAATCTACATAGACACGAATCATGTACCTGGCAGAATGTATGTATGAAATATGTGAGTACGTGAGTACGTGAATACGTGAGCATTCCTTTGATTCCTTCTTATTCGTAATTATTTTTGCTGTCGCAAATGGTGCCCTACAACTTCATAAGCCTAGTTGTATTCAGCTTAGTATTGATAGTATCAATATTTATTTTTGGCCATTTTAACGTTGTAAGTAAGAAACCCTCTTATCTCGGCAATGGCCGGTGTCACTCTAAACAATACTTCCCCTTTTCGTCAACAAATTTATGTAAGTTGCAGAAATTCCCCGTAAATTACCTTAACAAGACGGCAGCCCTTGCGAATTCCTGTAAAGCCGGAAGTCCGTTGGCCCACAAGCCCCACGGCGCTGGGAGGTTCCCCGATGCTGGATACCCTCGACATCACGGGACAAGTGCGAAGCCCCTCTAAGGCTTCGAGACGGAAACCTACTCCGTTCGTCTTGATCGCGTGGCAGTCCACGAGAGGCCTATTGAGCACATCATGTCTGGATAGCGGAGGTATAGAAGACAGCTTCGTTCTTTAATAAATCCATACTTCGCAAATAACCGAACCATCTAACACATTAATGAGCACTTATGGCCTACCAAAATACACAAGTCAACAAAATTTTCTAGCAGAAGCTCCGACGTTACACTCGACCTCGACCCCTGGGAATAAATAGGATTGGAAACCCGGCTTCGAGAATAAATACTAACGATAGCCGAGAGGTAGTTGACCATTGTGTTGGCGTCTTAGCATTTCTAGACGGCATCGGCTGTTCTAGTGTAGCAGAAACGAGACGGGTAACAGGTTTGACACACTAGGAACATGAGTGGAGTTATATACCTACCTCCCAACTATCCACATCTACAACACTAAGGCACCGGAATGAAATAGTCTACCTGAGGTGCATCTTCACTTGATTCTGGAGTACAGCAGATCTTCCGCACTTCGACGTCTTGATTAGCTCCCGCTCATGTAAACATGAAGTTATAAAATGCGGCTGGTGCCGTTAATAGCAACACTGCATTATCCAGAGATCTGCTGACCTGATTGATAAAGGAATACGGGGTAGTTGGAACCGAATGATATGCACACAAACCCATGATCCTTGGACTCTCATAATAATGCGTCTTATACGCTACCTAGAGCAAGAATCGGAATAGTCGAAACTACTATGTAGAAAAGGCGAGGTTCTGGGGTTCGCGGGACTCTTCCGGTGATCTCCACGTGTGCTAACCTACATCGATCATCAGGCCCAAGTAAGCCTAGTGTAGGTAATATCCGTCCTACAATTGTCAATAGGAGAGAACTAATTTCTTCCAGGATCCACTTGACGCGATTCCCGGGTCTCATATTTCATCATAAATGATACCTTCAAGGTTATTGCTTAGGAATAACATACTAGACAAATATGAGACAGGGACGATAATAGCCCTTTAATGCTTCGGAAACAGGGGCGAGGGAAAATTCTTTAATGATTGGCGTCCCAATGATCTGGGAGAGTGACGGGCATTTTGAGGCACAAGCAAAGACGGCAGTCTGTTCGCTATCTTGCCGCATCCATCGATCTCACCCCCTGAAGATCATTCGTGTGTGCTTCGTGCCGCATTTTATACCTCGGTTTGTGCCCACGATAATACGACTTAGATACTAGGTACTAGAACATCTAACGTAAGAATACCTACCTATTATCTTACTCCTTGTACTAAGCGACATATAAAACTTTTCCCTCGAGGTTGACATTACGTGCCCGAAATATCTGTCAAGCCCCACCTGGGGAAGACAATTTCGTGGCATCATAAGTTCCAGATTTCTGCATTTGAAGTTGCTTGTTCGTATTTCGAGGGTAGCTCTCCCTTCCGGCTGTCGCAAACAATACGGGGCCGTTCACGATGAGTGATTGAGCAAGTGGACGAGTAAACAAATCCGTCCGGGTAGGCAAACCAGCAGAGAATCACATCTTGTAATAAGATGCTCTCTAACCTGACAAGTATACCCCAACGGGATTATGTTAATTTAAGCACATGGAAGTAATGTCCTCGGTGCTAGCTGATAGATAAGGTCAAAACCATGCCGTTGAGTTCATAAGACGAGAACTCGCGGCTGACCCTTTCAGGTTTCGTCGGGGTTAGCGTGCATCTTGATATATCACTTGCGCTGCCGATGCGTTGAAAGGATAGTTCTGCAGTTCCCGTCGCCTCGACCCGAACCATTCCACGTTCCACGACCTGATCTGACTGTGCTACACAGTCCAGAAGTCAGAGGCTGACGTGCACGAGTACGTACAAGTACAACCGATGCGATGCGTAGTTAATCGCATATACTATCTCGTAGGATCGCAGAGGCACTCCCACGTGGAGCTGCGGGAGGCCAGTTGGGAGCAACAAGTCTTAGAACTGTAAGAGTTCACCCTCCCCAATCTTGTGTGTCAAGTGTCGCAGGATCGGGCAGATGACAATGGTTTGACGACTATTTTCGTTCGTCATAGGAGAAAGGAGAAAGGAGAAAGGAGACTTCGAGGATTTTTGGGGGCAATAATGCCTGCCCTTCTCGGCCAGCGTGGGGGTTGGCTGATGCTTTGCGACCTTCTACTTGGAAGACACTACTACTATACTAGACTCACGATGTGATCTAAGGTCTCTTCGTTTGCGCTCTTGGTCTGCTATATAGCTTATCTGTCTTGCGACTAAATGCTGCTGAGAGTTTTGGCTGTCCGAAGGAAAGTATTTCAGTCCGTAGTCGTGAGTGAAAACACATCTGCCCCTCATTACTCAATACTATATTATTTTACAGCATGTTGCAACATCAATAGTGGAATTCAACTTAGACTTCCGTATTCCGACCAGTTTGAGATGTAGTAACGGGAGTTCCCCCGAGGATTCAAACCCTTACCGTAGGAGGAAAGGTTATTTGATTACTGTACTTGAAGAGACTCATTTATGCCCTTATGCTCCCACGCCGATCGATAGAAACGTGATCTCTTCTATGGTCATTCTGATCAGTCCCGTCTAGACTCTGGAGGGGCTACAAGGGTGCTCTTTATCTAGTAGATCTGTTCACCGTGGGCATGGACATGAGGAGTCGCCGAATCCAATTCACTAGGTAATTTAACGGGAGGGCTAGTCCAGCAGGTTTATTCTATAGTCAAATTTGGACACGGCAGGGTCGTGTAGTTCGGGGATATATTCGGTGGTTGCTGGCATTAATATGAAAAGAGCAGGTCTCCGTCTCGAGCCTGCAGTAGGGCGTCAATGCTCGGTGTTCGTTGGATAGTGTCTGTGGGCAAAAGCTTCCATCTAAATCTTCCATGCGTCTTCGAAATATTCCGACGGCTACTCCCAAGCTCCAAGGCCACACCATAAGGCGTAGGGACAGATGAATCCTAGCACGCAATAGAGGTCCCATGTCTTCAGGACCATCGCAAATGAACACGACCCCACGTGTATTTGATACGCGAGAGGAAACGTACGTTATACCTATAATACTGATACTGCATCTGTATGTAAATCGTTGTGCTATACCTCCTTAACTCTTCACCGAGGACCAACCTCTAGCGTCGTGTACATACTATACTGTGTAGGTACGCAGTATCGTAACGTCGGTTCGCCAAGCGATATGAGCACGAGGTTGCTGCAGCTTGCATGCATATACTCTACATTTCGTGAAAGCTATGCTACCCCCTCCTCCGCGTGGAGTCCTATCATAGTAACGAATCAAGCTTCGGACTCGAGTACTTATGGTACCTGTCATTTTGGCATATTCTCTTCGATATAACCGATATGATCTTGCAACATCTGTCTTGGCTACTGGTTTACGTTCCGTCCCGGGACAAGATGACTCTCGTGGTTGTTAGTCGGTTGATCTCATACCTACTACATAGTAGGGGATTTATCCGTGCTCACAGACTATGTCTATTAAGCATACCTATATATGATACTAGAACGTTGCAAAATCCCCAGATGGATATGTAATAGAGTAACATATTCAATCACGATCGTTACTCATTTATGTGTAAATACCTATAAGCAAGCTTAATATATAATCCTAGAACAACTCTTAAGAATATATACTTTTGAAGTATGTACTCTCACAGTGTAATTATCGCGTGTCTGATACGGAGACCCTGTGAGAAATACAGTACTAATAGGAATATGCGGACTGCCATCTGGCCATTCTCGAAAGAACCCTTGCTCGATTCCTAGTCAATTCCTCTAACCAAATTTCGCCAGATTTATTTTGTTTTCCTTCCCCTTGGGTCCGGCATTTCAACCTGAATGAGCGGTCGACCGAGACACTTACAAAAAGTTATTTATTTGTGCATTGTGTATTATGCATTGTGGTATGGTAGTTGATGATGTTAGATGTTGAGTTAAGGAAAGGTACCTAAGTATTATGGTTTTACTTGAGGGGGCAAATAGATTATACCGAAATATCTAATCGATAATCCTATGACATACTCCTTCTGTTCGTAGAAGGTGTCGAGATCCGATACGCGATTATATAAGGCATGTAGATTTGAATTTTACGGCACATTCGTTAGGCACGCCAGCGGGGTGTCTTCAATGTAGTATCGAAGTGCAAGTACAGGTGCCGTATTACCATTATCGTACTACCGTACAATACGTTCGTACAGATATGCATATTGATGCTATGTTTATACACATACATAAAACATCTGATACAGATGGAACTTGCCATAGTATACAATACTTACTTACATATGTAATATTCCGTACAGACTTCTCCTTACATATGTACCCATATACTCACCTGACTCTAGATCGAGTCGAAGGTATAATACATGCCTAAGGTGCATATATACCTATGCAAACAATCGAAAGAGCACGATCAATGCACTAGCCAATCTACAGCTAGAAGTCTAGGACGACAACTTGCGATTGCTGTCTGCAGGCGGGAAAAATTAAAAGGGGTCCAATTCAAAAGAAGAAAGAGGGGTTTTCTACTCTCACTACAGACGCTAGGGTCATATACTATTGCTATATAAGGACTAGCTCAATGCTATTAACCTTCCATAACGGTTACATGTACCCAAAACGTATTGACTAGCGATTGATGCTACGAGGTATAGAGTACATTTTAAGTAGGTACTACATAGTGTACCTAACATATTACTACCATGACAGCATGAACGGCGGCAGGCGGATGGGGAAGATCAGAAAATTGATACGGTCGGAAACGAGCAGACCCCGACTTAGATCTCTAACCTACCTCTCAGCCTACCTTAACCTACCTACCCTACCTTACCTTAATTCCGGCCCTGTATGTATTATCGGCTGGGTATCCAAAACCACACCCCCCCTTTCGCCGATTAACCACAACTTCACCACCCTCAAAGCAGCTCTGAATCCTATAGGCTGTAACCCAACTCGACCCTCGACATTCGATTGCCTAGGTCTGACTCTCTTCAGCCCTCAGCTTAGCCTGGGCATACACCCCACGAGTCAATACTGAGGTGACCCGACTAGCCCTTCTCGTCAGCGAATTGGACTCCTTACCTCACTTTCTTTACCCGCCCAACGAGAACGTCTTCCACCATTCACATCTTTTCTAACCTTGGTCTACTCCAGCAGCAAGACCCTTAGCGCTTGTAGGCAAATTGAAAGGAGAGCAAACAAGTTGCGATTGAGAGATTGAGAGGAAGGAAAATTCATTGCACCTAAATCTTCTACCTTTGTTTTATTATTTTTTACTTCTCTTCTAAGTCTATCGTTCTGAACACGCGATTCTTCTTGTCGTTAATGATTCCGACCACGGTAGCGACGACGGCCTCGGTATCAATCAACGCGTGCCCTTCTACATACTTTGGCCTTCGTCTACTCTTCATCGCGAAGCGACTTTTAGCAGGCTATCTCCGCGGGTTTGACCCCCCGGTCTCGTCCGACTTCGTTTTCCCCTTTCTATATTAGCTCGGGCATGATTTAATAACCGTTTTCGAATTCTCTGTAATTACGCTTGGCGCTTTCCACGTCACGATGCTCATGACACAGTCCGCAGTGTCGGCAATAGTAACAAACCAAAAAGATAACACGTACAATTCACGGAATAGGTCTCGATCTAACACTCTCGACAAGAATCCCGATTCTGCTATTGAGCTTAGGAACCCGGCATCGTTGGATCGTTCCAGCGGTGACCGTGCTTATTCATACACCATGAACGGCATACTAGGTACTGCGCCTCCTGGCACGTTGTATGTACGAGCGCTCTACGATTACGAGGCCGATGATCGAACGAGCTTGAGCTTTCACGAGGGCGACATAATTCAGGTCATTACCCAGTTAGAAAGCGGATGGTGGGACGGTGTGATCAACGGGGTCCGCGGTTGGTTTCCAAGTAACTATTGCCAGATCATCGAGAACCCCGAAGAGATTCCCGAGCATATGCAAAATGTTGATGGAGACAATGGAGATGACGAGCTGGAGGATCAGGTAGCGTACGACGAAGAGCTTGAGGATGATATGGAGTCGGATCAAGATGAATTTAACGGGTTGCCCCTCGAAGGCGCGAGGACTTCGGGAAAATCTGGCGCCGACTTTTGGATACCTCAAGCTACGCCCGACGGCAGACTATTCTATTATAACACTATGACTGGAGAGAGCAGCATGGAGCTTCCGTTAGAATCGCCAACTTCTTTCAATGAAAATGGGCCGCGGGATCGAATGAACGTAAATATGGTAGAGAAGACGCGACTACCCCCAGAAGTAATGGCTAGGGGTTTGATGCAGGATGAAGATGAGGACTCGGAAGCAACATCTGCTTCAGAGCTCGAAGGTGAATTGCTCAGCAAAAGATCTATGAGTTCCTTGGTAAGTACATTCATATCCCATGCATATGTTTACCACAAACTCACACAGGGTTGTGTAGCCTTCACGACGTCGCGGCTACGACAGCGTCGGAGTCTCTCCCTCACCGTCCATGGACTCGATGAATGGTTCCCAGGGGATACGATCACGGACTGATACCTACATCAACACCAACGTCCCAATATCTACAGTAGGCGGTTTAGCACCGACACTGGCTTCTGCGACGTCCTTTACTGGCGCTAGTTTTAACCTCCCGCAAGCAGCTACGATACCTCGTTCTTTCTTTGATGACGGCACCGCGCAGCCTTTATCGTGGAACCTCCTCATAGCAAATATGAAGCGCGCTATCGACCGCTATCGAGACGCGATCACGAGCAATAATCGGTCAGAATATGTTGCTCGTGCAGAGGATATATCTGATCATTTGCGCTTGCTCTTGGCTGCTGGTTCTGGTACCACCGACAACCACTCTGGCCAGCCTTCTATTATTTCGACGAACAAGGCGCTTTATCCTCATTTCCGAGACATGATGTCCAAGTTTTCCAAACTGGTCATATCTTCTCACATAGCCGCAGCTGATTGGCCGAACGCCGAGTCTGTGCAGAAGTGTATGCAAGAAGCCGATGGTGTACTCGGGGGAGTTTTCAGCTTTGTTGAAGTCGCGAGACAGCAGAGAGGTGAGGAAATCCCGCGATTGTTTCCCGGGTTCGTCATAGGCAGCAACACTGGAGGAAGTTGGCAAAACAACGGACTCGGTCCCCGCGATCCCATCACGTCGAATTTCTTGGAGGATGATGAGGGTTATGCTGAGCCGACCGCAAATTTGGACGGGAAACATCTCGAAAGGCTCGATGAATATAAGAGGATGCTAGTTTCTAGCATTAGGGAGCTGGAAAAATATCTCGGTTTATCTGACAAGGTTGTGTCACCATATAGGCATGAGCTCATCGGCAACAATGTCTGCATTGCAGGCGGGAAAGTTCTGGAGATGTTCAAGCCTTGGATTGCGATGATTGAGTCTATTGACCTTTCATCTCTAGGAAATACTTTTCAGACGCCTCAACTTGCTGACTTCAGCACCAATAAGCAAAGTCTCTACGATAATATATCCGACCTTATATTAGGATGTCAGTCAGTTGCTGGTCCTTTGGGCGATGAATGGTCTGAGGTTCGCGGTGAGTCATTGGAAGGCAGGCTTGAGTATGTCAAGCAGTGCGCAAGGACTCTGGAAACGAATTCTTCCCATATCGGCTTTTCTCTTCAGCTCCTCTCTGAACAGGTTCAGTTTAACCTACAGCAGCAGCATGAAGCTCGCATGCAGGGAGACGGCCTACAGAGAGGTCCACTTAGAAGAGACCCGTTGCTCTCTTCTAACTCGATGCATATGCGCTCAGACTCGAACTACCTAGCAAATATCAGACCTTCTCTAATGACTTCAGCCTCCTATTCCGACGAACCCACCAATTTCCCCAGGAAGGCCGGAAACCTATCTAAAGCTGCGAAACTTTTGGGAGAGAATTCTATCGCTGTCACCGCCGCCCAACCAGTTGAGGAAACGCCACCATTCTTACGGCTTGACCTCGAGAATG